CTATTAAGTGTTTGACTTGATTAAAAAATCAATATAAGTGTTTGGTTAATTAGCTTTTTGTAACTCTAAAATACTAAAATTCAAAAAGCGGTTCAAAACAACTTTTTTAATTAGCTTTTTAAAAAAAATAAATTATACCAAACAGCTATTCTATAAGCTAATTTATCAAACACATTTATACAATCAGCTAATATTATAAAATACCATCTAATTAACCCAATCACTAACCCCTATCAGCTAATATAGCCATTTACCAAAGGGTCTTAATACACCAAGAAATTACTTCCAATAAGTAAAAAAGGAACTCCAGAATTGGACAATAAGCTGAACTTAGTGGCCTCGGAAGAATAAAGATAGCATCTTCAAACAAAAAATGTGAGCTTTAGAGCCATTAAAACCAAGTAACAATACAGAAAGCAATGTATATCTTAACTAATTCCTGTATCTACAATTGGGGATAATGTACCTGGAGAAAAATGAGAGAGGAGCGAATGGAAAGGGGCAAGGCCCACGAAGGCGCGGACAGTTCCTGGTTGAGACTTGGGGCGGGAAAGCCTGAGTGGAGAGGAAGAAGACCTAGATGAGAAACGAAGGGAAGAGGTGGAAGAGGCGTGAATACAAGGAAGCGCTGATCTTAGCGGAGCCATATTCCATGCTGCGGAGGCTGAAGTGCTCGCACACGCCGCCATTTTCGATTGCTCTCTCTGTCTCTGGTTATGGACGTATGAATTGGCGTTGATAAGGAAGATTGAACCAGGCTTACTTGAACGGATAATTCGAAATTGGCCCCAAACTTGTGTACAAATTTCACTCACCTCCCTGATAATTTTTTTTTTTTTTTTTTTTTTTTTTTTTTTTGCAATCGTTATACCCTGCACTAGGGGTGTAAATGAGCCGAGCGGCTCGTGAGCGGTTCGCGAGCTGCTCGGTCAAAGCTCGGTTCGAACTCGGTCAAAATCGAGCTCGAGCCGAACTCGAGCGGCTCGTTTAGTAAACGAGCCGAGCTCGAGCTCAAATATTCTAGGCTCGTGGCTCGTCGAGCCGCTCACGAGCAATAATTAAATAATAATTAAATAAATAGATAAATATTATATATATATATATATATATATATATAAATTACTTAAAACTCGCAAAGTAGGAAAATCTTAAATCTTGAAGTTTGGACTTTTAAATTTTTAAAGTTTTTATTATTTATGTATGGATAAAATAATATTTACTATTAATTAAAATATGAATTCAAATATATCAAACTCGAGATTAAAATCGAGCCTGAACTCGAGCTCGAATTCTTGAGCTTGAACAATCGAGCTACTCGAGCCGAGCTCGAGCGGCTCGAAAAATTGCCGAGCCGAGCTCGAGCATCATTTTTTGAGCTCGATCGAGCTCGAGCTCGAGCCAACCCATGCTCGAGCTCGGCTCGGCTCGTTTACACCCCTACCCTGCACCGTGCCTCCCAAAACGACGTCATTTTGTTAAGTTGTGTGCCACGCACCTCCCAAAATGACGTCGTTTTGTTAAGTTGTGTGAGGAGTCGACGACGACGTCGTTTTGTTAATTGTGTGAGGAGTCGACGAGGCAGAGTGTATGTGTATTATGTTATACAATTATGTATATTCGAACACACAATTTTTTAACGGTTAAAAGTTTGTGTGGATTCTTACAATGTAGTATTTGTTCCTCATTAGAGGAACGAACCCACAACCTTCCATATGAAAATGCAACTTTGGTGCCATTAGATTACAAGGTCTTCGAACCTCCTTGATAACTTTTAAACTTAAAACTAATTATAATTTTTAAACTAGCAAGGAAAATATCTATATAATTTAGGAAAAAAACGTCATATAGACCATCGAACTATTAGTGTTTGTGTAATTGGACCATTGAACAAAAAATGTGTGCAATTAAACCATTTAACTCTATAAATTTGTGTATATATTTAAATATTACATTCAAGAGTTCTAAGTTTAAAGATAAAAGAACAAGATTTCAAAATTGGAAAAAGAAGAACTCAAGAAATAGGATTTTTGTAAAGAGGTTTAGAATATTTATATTTCATGTTTGTGAGCTCAAATATTTTTGAACATATCTTCAATACATTTTAGTGAGCACAATTCATTTTTTAGCTGTGTATAGTCATTGTTCTCCCTATCCTATATATACCTCATCTCCGATGGCAAAATAAGTAAAAATGTCATCATTATTATACTTTAAACACTTGGGTGTGTGAAAGACGGTTTATCTCAACACTAAGTGTAGCTATGAGTTATAGCAACAACCTTGGCAACAAAAGGGTGAATTTGTTGTACCCTATGCTATGAAGGGGTGAAGGTCGTAGAAGTGTCTTCGTGAATGATGGTGCCCAAGAGACCCATAGCACAAGGGGTTCGTGTCTTGTCTCACATAAGCTACAAAGGGTTGTAGAAGTGCTATCAACGTTGTGGTTAGTGCAACAGTTGTGATGCCCACCAATGTTTTAAAGTGGTCAGGAGAGTAAAGTTGTAAATCTTAAGGGAGGTGCCCTTAGGTAGTGAAGTAGGTTTGGCCGGAACACTCTAAAGATTGATGTACTTCGTTTCTTACTTTTTACATTCTATGTCTATTCAATTATGACAAAAACTTGTGTAAGATCGTCTCACAGATCTCAATATGTGAGACGGGTCAGAATTTTAATTAATGAGGTCAAAGATCCGACCCATTAATAATAATAGAAAAAAATTGACCCATTAATCAAAGATCTTATCCATCTCAGAGATTAAGACCCATGAGACGGTCTCACATAGGTATTAGCCTTCAATTATTTATTTACTTAAACACATGATTAAATGAAATTGGATTAATTGTGTAAGCCACATAGTACGAAGAAGAACACCATCCTTGCTTGTGAAATTGCTAGATATATTCTGTAATCTATGATTTGCTCATATGATTAATTAATTGTATGCTAGTTGAATTTCCATACTCGGTACCCATAATGCATCCTATTGTGTTGCTTGACTTGATTGTTTATAAATTTGATTAAGTGTTATCAATTACTTATACATAATTGATATTAAAAATCTTTTATTTGATCACTTAGAATTGTACCAAATATGATTTAAAAATATAACCACTTAGGATAAATTGGTATAATTTTTTTTTTTTTTTTTTTTTTATATAGCCTAAACTCCCCATATTAGGCTAAATCAAGACTAGTTTTCTACTTCATATATCTTAAGCTAGCTAGTTTCTCTCTATTGCTCTTCTTAAAATTGTCTATTTTGTTAGATACGCTCTCTTGATTTTGACTTTAACTCCTTTTAAACTCTTCTCTTATAGTCATCACCTCTTTTGCTCTTCAAATTGGCATGACATCTTTTTTTTTTTTTTTTTTTTTTTTTTTTTTTTTTCATGTCCAAATTTGCTCTTCAAATTGGCATGTCATCTTTTTTTTTTTTTTTTTCCTCTCTTAGAGTGGGGGATTGTTGAAAACAAATAATAAAATGACTATTTTTGTGGTCAAGTTCTTTATAATGAGATAAAAAAATTGATATATTGTACACTCAAAATAAATAATGGGTGACTAGAAAATTGATTCTCAAAGTAAACCCATTTGAGTTGGAAAATGGATGTGGGAAGACTTGTAAATTTTTTTTGTCCCACATTGAAAATGGAAGTAGGTTTGCACTAGTATATATATAGGGCTCTTTTAAAGGAGTTTGGATTGTATAACTTAGAGACTCTGAATATATTTTAGTATTTAACTAGCTTGGTTGGCGTGAGTGGCTGTGCACTCTTGCCCCTTAAGAGATATCGGGAGTTCAAACCTTCTCTATCGATGGAAATGGTCATGCACTTTTGTCTTCTGGCCCATGCTCTGACTGAAAAAAATATAATAAATAACAAAAATAGATAACAATAAATTAAGTTAATCATGATAACTCATTAATACCCTAATTTCATGACTCCCCTCGGAATAGTTCTTTCGCTTACAAGGTGAATATATAATTCCTATGAATATTATTTTCGAAAATAAAATAACTTACCAAACGACATAATAAATCTATTCTCGAGAATGCTTGATATAAGAGGATAGTGTTCATTTTAAAAACGTTTTATCTTAAAAATTCTCTAAAACTCATTTTGAAAATGTTTTTTTTTTTTACCATATTTTAATTAATTAATCACAAGTTTCAAAATTGTTTTATAATTAATAAAAAAAATAAGAAACACATATTCACTTTTTCAACCCATTTTTTTTTTTTTTTTAATCTTCTAACTTGATTTTTTTTACATAGGTCAAAAGTTCAATATATATCTATAAAGTGAAATTAAAACCTAAATATTTTAATTTTCATTTTACCTTTTATGTAGAATCGTCAAAACGGGTTTAGCTCGTCCCATAAGATTAAAAAGGTGGGATCAACTCTATTTTTTGAGTCGGTATTATATAAGACATTTTAACTCGCACCTGCTGCTTATTAAAAAGAGTTCTACTACATAGACTCTCAGATCTTACTCTTTAAATTTTACTCCTTGATATGACGGACACTGATAAACTACTTTTTTCATATGAGTCTCAATACAAGTGTCTACATCAAAATTTTGTATATGAAAATAAAAGTTTGGAGTAAAAAATAAGAGTAAATATAATATTTTCCTATTAAAAAACACAATTGAAAGAGATATAGCTGTCAATAGGCATGACCACGGTTCGGTTCGAACCGAACTGTGCACTATTGAACCGGAATCGAAATCGAACTGTTTGTAAGATTTCGATTAAAGTTTTTGTAATAAAGGAGCCGCCGGTTCCGGTTCTAAATTGAAAAAAAATTAAAAATCATAACTTTTTTTTATAAATTCGGTTACAACCGACGATTTTGGTTGGAACCGCCAATTCATCAATCGAAATCTTATTATAAGGTTCCAGCTTCAATTTGGCCATTTGCAGAATCCAAATTGGAACCGCAGTCATTCCTTTGTCAAATACTCAAAGGCCTAATAAAGTAATAAGTAATAACCCTAATTCCTAAATCCTAATTTCTAATTCCCAACTACAGTCCGCAACCATCAGCTTTCAAGCCCTTCACTCTCGTCTTCGAGTCTTCTCCGGTTCCCCCAGCCGACTAAGCCACTCGCCGTCGTCGCCGAGAGCCCGCGACGCAGTCACTCCGCCGGCGGCGCTTCCTCCTTTCTCAATCTGTATGTATATGCGTATGTATGTGTGTGTTGTGTTGTGTGTTTTTTTTTTCTCAGTTGTTGTTTTTCGATTTCTTCGTTTTGAAGTGTAGTTGATCGGTGGGTGGGGTTTGTAGGTGTGCGAATTGAAAGAGGGATTGATGTACTTGCTTGCGAATCTTAACTACATACAACACCATGATCACATTAGAACTTAAAGGTACGTTCTTTGTTTTCGTTCTCGATTAAGGTTTGGATTGTAATTCGGATTTGATCGTGTTTGAATTTTATACGAGCTGCATTTTTTCGAATAAAGTTCCGATTAGATAAATTAGTGTGTTCAATTGTGAATTTGGATTCTGTGGTATTAATTAGGACACTTTCTGCCATTCCTAATTCTAAAATAATTACACATAAAATTGACTTAAAAAAAAAAAAAACTAATTCAGGTTTTTTTTTTTTTTTTTTTTTTTTTTTTTTTTTTGACAGATAATTCAAGTGCTTAATCTTCGTAAAATAATTACTTATTTACTCTGTAAAAACCACCAGGCATCGAATCTGAATCACCTTTCTTCTCTGAAACTCTAGAGACACTGTCTCACCCATCGACGAATTGATGTTGGCCGTCCGGTACTTTTCCCGTCGCTCACCTTTACACTTCTACCCCTGCAAACCGACCCATCCATCCTTCTTCTCCGTCTTCTTTTCTGGTCACGCTCACACCAAAGCCTTAGAAAACCCCATTCTGTATAACTACCTGATTGACAACTTTAACTACCCCAAATCCAAAGCCCTGACAATTTGCACTCGCATGCCGTGGATCAAAACCCTTGAAAAGCCCGAATCCGTCGTACATTTCTTTAAATCCATAGGATTCTCCGATGCCCATATCCAATCCTTAATCCGCGATGTGCCTCAGCTCCTTTCTGCTGATATTGAGAAGACGCTGAAACCCAAAATCAAGCTGTTCCAGGACCTTGGTCTATCCGGGCCCGATATGGGTAATTTCATGTGCAAGAAAGCCCATTTGTTAACCCGTAGTTTGGACAACGTAATTAGGCCGTGCATTGCTGTTCTTAAGGATATACTTAGAAACGATGTAGACAATCATCATCTGTTTTTGGTTATGCAAAGGTGTCTTTGGATCGTCATGAGAAGCCCCGAGGTGAGGTTACTTCCTAATGTTGAATATTTGAAAAGTTGTGGGATTGTGGGGACTCAACTTGCAACTCTTTTGAGGAGGCAGCCTAGACTCTTTATCACGCCTTTACCCAAGCTCAAAGACCTGGTTTCCAAGGTTTTGGATATGGGGTTTTTGACTGATTCAAAAATGTTGGCTCACGGGCTTCATTCTTTTAGTTGTGTTAGTGGTGGGACTTTTAGGAAGAAATTGGGAATTTTTAGGAGTTATGGCTTCTCGGAGAATGAGTGTATGGGAATGATTAGGAGGTCCCCGACACTGCTGAGGACTTCGGAGGAGAAGTTGAAGCTTGGGATTGAGTTTTTCTTGAACACAATCGAAGCAGAGAAATCTGTGTTGTTATGTCGGCCTTCGCTGTTGATGTTCAGCATGGAGGAGCGGGTGCTTCCGAGATACCAAGTTTTGAATCTTGTAAACTCCAAAATGCTTTTGAAGAAGGAACTGAGTTTTGTCCAGGCCTTGTTTTTATCAGAGGCTGACTTTTTGGAAAAATATATTGCAAGGTTCCCTGAGATAGCCGAGGAATTGTTGATGGCTTACAAGGGCCATCTTCTAGTTTCAAATGGGTAATATAGATTTTTGCTCACCTATTCAAATTTGGGCATGTTTAACTTCAAAGTTGTGTTATAAATTTGTAAGGACTACTTTTAACATCAACTCTTATACTCGGCTGGAATTTCAGGTGTGGTGTACATCCTCCAGTAATCATTTGATGCGTCGTTTAATTGGCTTGGCTTACTTTATGGGGAAGAAACAGTCAAGATTTCAGGGGTATATGACTTTGTAGAGCATTTCACCTGGTAACTATCATCTTCTTAAGTAGTAGAGCTTAATTTATTCGAGCTTTCAGAAATGTGTGCTTGATACTGAGAGGTTTACAAACCTCCCTCTAAAGTATCAAGAAATTATCAAGACTAGAAGAAGTAACAATCCAATCTCCCTAAAATAATTACTGAATTTACTCATTCATTCATTATATTCTCCCCATTTTATTTTTACAGGGTTGTTCCTGCATTCTTCTTGGTGAAAAAGAACACGTCTAGACTTGCTAAGTGGGCTCAAATGACACCTTTGTCAGGCTCTGTGACTCCCCTCGAGGGAAGGTCATAGAATCGAACCCCAATGGTGGGGTTTTGACTCTTTGAGCTACAATAGATAACTTCTCTGTGCCTCTATGACTATACGGTGGATAGCATTATTTTCCTCCACACAAACAATAATAGAAACTGCAAATCCTCCAATTCTTGAAATAAAGAAGCTTGCAATATGATGTGGCAAGATTAAAAATATATATATATTTGTCATGTCTTGCAACTTGCAAGTATGGAAAGACTTGAAAATTGAAATGCTTGCAAACCTGACAATGTAAAGTACACATTCTTTCTCTTGATTTTTGACTTAAAATTAATTTAAATATTATTATTGTATTGTATTAAATTTCGAAAGTGAGGTAGAATTGTGTCAAACTACCTATAAGGTCTATGCATTATACATCGCAAGATTTTATTCAATTTAGTCTTTGTGCTCTAAAAGAATAGTATAATTGAAGACAATTATTAACACTGTTAACATTTTAATGTTAACCTTGATTAAGTGGCATTAATATCATCATTGTCACATCATATTATGATGTGTTATATCAAACTCATATTTTATTTTAAAAATAATTAATTTTATTTTATTTTAAAAACAATTAATTTAATTAAGCCAATGTATTAATAATTATTAATAAATAATTAATTGTAACTATATAGTGTGATGAAATATCTGTTACCATTCTAAATGGGTGGTTACAACTTACAAGATAGAACTTTGAAAATTTGAGAAAGTATAAAACAAATGTTACTTTGTAATTAGTATTTCAAAAAAAAAATTAGTATTTTTTTTGTCAGACCACGAGATGCCAGCAGTCCCTAACTGTAGGAGGCACCTTTAAGTTTGTACCATACTCAGATTAATCTCATTAAGGGGTAAAATGCTGGCCAGTTGATTGAACCCTTGACCTCGAATTACAATTAACTATGCTAAGTAATAAACTTGATATTATTGTATGAAATTTAATCAAATACCATAGTAAGATGGAACTTGTAGAGAATTTTATTTTTTAAAAATTTTGTTAGTGTTCAATTTGTTATATTTAAATAAACTAAGCTACATGTGTTTTAAAACAAAATTTAAGTTTGTTAATTATTAAAAATTTACAAATAAAATTAGATTGAATTTTAAAATTTTAGTTGTCATTATTAATTTTTTTGTTTCTATCCATATGAATCGATGTTTTAAAACTTTATGTTTATTTTAATTTATATGAACCCTTTACTTAAAATACAAATAAAAATTGTTACAACTCCCATCTTATTCTACTTAAATTACGGGGTAATATTTTCACAATGATGATAATGCAAGTTGATTACTTGTTGGGGTGGGAGTAATTCAGGTTATAACTAACATCCGAAATTCGAATCGTATTTTAAATTTTGAGTGAACCCTAATAGTTATTGGTTTGAATATTTTTAATTATGATATATCCGAAGAGTAAATACCCAAAATGGTCCCTCGACTATAGCTAAATTCACAAATTGATCCTCGACTTTCAATTTCAACCAATTAAGTCCTTAACTTTGTAATTTTAACACGATTTGATTCTCCGTTTATTTGACCGTTTGTTGACCATGATCTCTGAGGATATATATGTAATTTCATGGTCCATCGTCGGTTCTTTAAGGTTCCGGTTACATTTCCAGACCGCACTGTTACATTTGAATCCGCTGCCGAAAGCGATATGCCAAATCCTGTCGCCTTTCTTCATCCTCCCTTTGGATTCAATGTAGTTGAGTTCGTACCAGACCGAAGAAGACGACGTGTTTTCGAACCACAGTCTGCCAAGTCCACGTGCTCCGAAGAGAGTTGTAGGTTCTTCTGGAGATTGTCGATGACGGCGCGGCCACCGACGTTGATGCAGAAGTGTTCGAAGGCTTGTTTGAAGTCTGGAAAGTAGGGTTTCCATTTGGGATTGAAGATTTTCCGGTCAACGATGGACCATGAAATTACATATATATCCTCAAAGATCACGATCAACAAACGGTTAAATAGACGGAGGACTAAATCGTGTTAAAATTGTAAAGTTAAGGACTTAATTGGTTGAGAAATTAAAAATCGAGGATCAATTTGTGAATTTAACTATAGTCGAGGGACCATTTTGAGTTTTTACTCTATATCCGAATATAAGTTCGGTTCGGATATTAGGTGTTAAAATTTTATCTATATCCGACCCGAAATCGAAATAACCAAAATTTTATTATAAATATAATAATATAAATTATACATTTAATTTTAAATATATTTCGTTGTTAATAATATATTAATTTTCAAAAGTCTCTTAGTTAATTATTAGTATTTTGTCTTATTTTTAGTTTGATAGTATATGAAAAATATAAATACACAAATAATACAATCATAAAACACTCAAAATTGATAAAAATAAAATTTTGGTTATATCCAAACTAACCTCAAGTAAATTCGAAATAATTTCACTCAAACCGAGCATATCCAAATTAAATTTGGTTTAGATATTAGGTGTAAAAAATATCACCCAAAATTTTCAGATATCTAAAATAAAATTTAAGTATCACCTCGAACCGAACGAATGCTCACCCCTAACTATTTAATATAGTGGAATGAAATGCCAATAATTTCATGGGTGGTTAAGTGTTCAAAACTTGTTGGGAGTGTATGAGTTAATAGTTATTAATTAATCCTCTATAATATAGTTGGCATGACACCATATTATGATGATGTCAAAGTCACATCCACATCCCAATAAGCTTATACACTTTCACGTCAATAATAGATGTTACATCCCAATAAATTTGCATGTCACGATATATAATTTAATTTGAAATTATTGAAATAATTTAGAATTATAACAAATGAATAAAGTACTAGGTAGCAAATATATTTCATCAAAAGCTTCATCCTAATATCCCTAACTCCAAATTTTGGCACTTGAAAACAATTACAAAATATTTAGGGAGATTATGGAATTTCATATTACTATTGGCTAGGTTTTAAGATTAAGTTCTTACCATTAGTCCACTATGTCAAAAGTTATACCTCAAAGTGAAAGTGCAATTGTATTTCGTTTGCCGACCACCATCATATTTTTGAGAGACATGGTACTGGATTTAGCCCTTCACCGGCATCTGCCCAACAATCCCTCTAATCACGAATTGAATTGCTGGACTTGACCCTTTATTAGCTTCCACCCAACACTAAGTTATATTACCTTGATATATTTCATTAATACATTTTTTTTTTTGAGAAAGTGTACAATATTTGTTTGATTGTTTCAGTAATATATTATTGAAATATTTGGTTAATGGATATCTTTTATGCTAATTTAAGTATTTTGCTTTACTATGCCCAATCATTTAAGTTAGATCCTAAACCATTGTTCAATGTTCAATGATATACTCCAATCGGTACTTTGCTATTGCTTGAAAACACTTTTATTTAATGATTCATGATTTTTTTTTTTTCAATTTATTGACACACTATGCATCAAAAGATGTCTTAATAAATTGCTTCATGAGAAAATATTTCACTACATTTTAAAATCATATTTTATAACACAAGTACAATTATAAATAATAATAATAATTAAATAAATAACTAAATAATTTTTTTATTAAAAAAAAAAAAGCATGATGTGAAAGGCATTTTAACATTTTCAATGGATAATATATAACAAGAACCAAGTATAGAAATAGTATTCCCGAGCCCATATTACCTTGCTAATACGAAATACTTTGAGCCTAATATCCCCTTAGGAGTTCATTTGAAAATTCAAAAAATAACTTCTGAAAGTTTTTTTTTAAAAATTTTTTTTAGTGTTTGTTTGTTAAAAGAAAATAAAGTCAACAGAAAATATCTATTCTATTCAAAAGAAAAATGATGATCCACTTTTGTGAAAAATGTATTTTAATACTTGTACTCTAAACACATTTTCCAAATTCCTTTTTCACACTTTGTTCTCTCTATCTTCCTTTTTTCTGAGTGGTATTCAATGAATGGCCTGCTCATCATCTTCTCGGATACCATTTGAATTTATTGAGCAACTCTAGTTAAATTTTATGTTAGATCAAGTTGAGCCAAACAATAAAAAAGTTTGACCCAACCTAACCTATAACACAAAAGCACACTACTGGAAATTATAGAATTTCCGACCACCTGAAAGTGATCTTAAATCAAGTCGAAAGTCTTGTTCCGACCACTTTTGGTATCCGAAAAAACCTTTATTGCTATTTCCAACCACTTTTTGCTTTCGATTTGATTTATAATCACTTTTAGGTGGTTGGAAATTCTATAATTTCCAGTAGTGACACTTTAAAACAAATCTTTAGTTTCTTTAGTTTATAGTTATTAAATTTATAAATTTTTGCACTTATATAATGAATTACTAGTTAAAAATTATTTATTCACATCTTTTAATTATAGTTATTCTCAATCTTTACAATTATTTAACTATATAAATTTAATTTATCTTTACTTTAATATAAATAAAATCATAATATAAGTACATGGCACAAAATTTAAACTTTTACAAATTATTATTATCATTATTAAAAAAATTGATATTTTGTAAGTCTTTTTTTTTTTTTTTTTTTTTGAAAAATGAACAAAACAAAAAAAAAATGTTATTTTTCAGAAATCATTTTACAAAAGACACTTTTCTTGTTTTCAAATGGCCTTAAAAAGTTTAAAATAACACTTCTTACTCGAAATTTATCATTAATATATACACTATATACTCTCTTTGAAGTTGTCTTCTTGTATGGTAGAATTTCTCATGGATATTTAAGTTGGTGAGTTGTGTTTATAATTGTTTTGGCATCTAGTGGTTGAATCCCTTAAGGGACCAAAGGACCAAAACGGTGATCTTCATATATTTAAAATTTTGTCAATTTAATCCCTAAAAGAATTTAATTGACGAACTTTTAAACAATTCGATAATCAAATTGGTTAAAATTAAAAATCAGAAATTACATTAACAGTTAAGACATAATTGAGGGACTAAAATGGCGATTTCTCTTCGTATTTACTTATCAATTCATTCATTACTATGACTATATTTATTACTATATATCTTTCTTACTTTTACTACTATTTTTTTTAGATTTGCACTCTCATCTTGCACAATATTGTATGTAATTATTTATATACCACTATGACTTCATTCATTACTATCTTTTCATACTTTACCACCATCATCTATCTTTTTTTACTCTTCATTTACTTATCCGTTATCCGGCCTAATATAATTTACTATAAATCATTATTCATATTATTCGAATTAGAACTCAAAATCTAAATTGTTTTTTTTTTTTTTTT